CTTGACCAATGACATTTGTAAAACTTACAAATTATCTTCTAAGTAAAGTGCTAGGATTTTAGAATTTTGTAATCCTGAGGTCAGAATAACTGCTACACTCATGACAGCTATAATTTACTAAGAATTAATATGATTTTTAAAGCTTTGTTTTGTACTTGATAAAGGACAATTTAGGATTTATGCACAAACTATGTGTCTTCTGACACACAAACTCTTGCAGCTGTGCAGTTAGATTTGGAAAGATTTTACCTTTGGAATTGGGATTAAGGGGCAAATTGACCAAAATGGCAAAAGGCTTACACACAATCATGAGTGCAGGTTATGGCAAATACTGACTGCTCTTATAAAGGATGAAACCTACACACAAATCCAGAGGAGAACTGCGAAGGAGACCCCAGGCACACATTTGGGTAACAGTGTATGGCCTCTCAACTGCTGTGGAACGCGTGTTAGGAGAGATCCATCAGCAGCACTTTCTTCCCCTTAGTACTGTAGCACCCAGCTTCTCCAAATGAATGTAGAACTAATATTTAAAGAGTATCAGTTTGAAGGGACACAACCTTCATATAGCACCAAATGTTCAGGGATGCATCCAAATTACATTCAATACTTTTGACCCATCTATACAATACTCTAACCCATGACAAGGGAAAAAATAGGCTTTTGTTTGGGAAGGTTACATTGCTCCATCCCCTGCCTTTCCTCCGTATCTGCCATCATTATGCATTCATGAATGATCTCTTTGGGGTGCCCACAGCAGCTCCGGGGCCCAGAGATATTCCAAGATGTAGTATAATTTCTGGATAATTGGACAGACTTTTAAAAACAGACACACTGGAATTCCACCTTTGAATGCACATTACTTCTCTTTCCCTTAGGAAGCTGAGGCTTCTTTGGAACTGTTAGGACTGCTTTTGTGACTGTTTAGTTTGAGAAAGTAACTTCAAAGAGGACAAAGTTTTATCCTCTGGGAGTGTTCAAAAAGTAAACCATGACTGGACCTAGTGAATAAACCTGGAAATCAAGTTGGGAAGTAAAATGTTGCATCAAAAACTAAAGTGTGCCTATGAAACCATAAAACAGATTTCTCACATGGGCTATAAATTAAATTTTAGCAAGTCTGTCAAAATCAGTTTCTTTTGCTTATGGCCATGTCTCCTGTGTCTCCATGCAATACCACAATAGTCTAGCATGTGTTTCATTACTGCATTAGTAAAATGCCCATTTTTTAATTTATAGTGTGTAAAATGGATAATTTCTCAGCTCATACCTCAGTGTCGCCCTCTGAGCATTCTAATCTTTCTGAAAATGGATTTCCAATTGAAAGTAGATCCTTTCTTGGCACAGTACACTGAATACTGGAACGGGAAAAAGTACAGCCAGAATAAAATAGAGTTCATGTGAAGATTTCCAAGATATTTTTTTGGCCAGCACTTAGCTCAGCCTGGTGATTAGAGAACCAACCAGATGATGAATTTAGGATGTATGCTAGGGCTAAATAATTATCAAAAATTTTAAAGTTAAATTTTAAATAAAGTTAGCGAGTTTTGTTTCTTATTGAATAGGGAACATATGATTGTAGAATATTCAGAAAACACAGATAAGCAGAAAGAAGAAAATATAAATTAATAGTACCTTCACTCAGAATTGATTACTAGTAACATTTTGAGTAGGGCCTTCAAATCTCTGCATGTAAATGTGTGTGAAAAACAAGAACAGTATTGTGATATACTCCTTTATAACTTATTTTTTAACACATGATGCCATATCATTAACATTTTCCCATATCAATCATTATTCTTCTACAATGTTATTTCATTATTTGGGGGTGAAGTATAATTTGTATAACGGATTATCTCTGTCAAACATGTGTGTTACCATTTAGATGCCCTCTCCCTTTCTTTTGCTACTAAGAGCAATATTGTGATGAACATTCACGTGGCCAAAGCCTTGTAAACATTCCCAGTCATTTCCTTTTGAAGTGGAAATTGAAATTCTAGGCCAAAAATGTATAAAAACAGTTGATTCATTTTAAGAAGTGCCTTCCAAAAGTTTTCACGGTCTCTTATTGATGATAAATGAAAACATCTTTACCCATACTGAGCATTGTATTTCTGCTAATCTTTACCAGCTTGATAGAATAAGAATGGTAATTAATTATTCCACTGAGCATTTTCCAATTGCTTATTGATCATTATTTTTCTTATAAATTTCCTTTTCATATCTTTTACCCATTTTCTGCACCTTTTAAAAATGATTTTTATTGACCCTTTATTTGTTATGCATATTATAAATAATTTTTCCACTTTTCTGTTTCCCTTTTGCTTTTTTGTTGGGGTGGGTTGGTCACCAAAGAGTTAAAAAAATATGTGTTCAAACCATCAAATGTTTTCTTTGTGGTGTGTCTCTTCATAGTTAAAAGTCTTTGGGCTGGGGATTTAGCTTAGTGGTTCTGGCGCCTGCTTTGCAAGCATAAGGTCCTGAGTTTGATCTCTGGTACAAAAAAAAAAAAAGTCTTTGCCCACTGGACAATTATGCAAATCTTTATTTCTGTCTCCTTCTAGAAATTTTATAGTTTCAAGTTCACATTAAAATTTGTAGTTCTGGAATTTGTTTAAATGTAAGGTGTGAGATAAAACTCAAGCTCGTTTTTCCGAGCAGTTAGCCAGTTGTCTCATAACATCTTTTGAATAATCCACTCTTTCTCCACTGATCTGTAAGTTCACGTTATATTACACTAAATTCACATAAGTGTTTGGCTCTGTTTATGGATTTTGTTCCAATGCTCAGTTTGCAGATTATGATACCAGTCGTACATTGTTTCAATTACTGCAGCTTTTTTATAAATCCTAAAATTGACTAGGGCAAGTTTCCACATTTTTCTTGGCTCATTTTGTATGTTTATCCTTCCATATAAACTTTTGAATTATTTTGTTAACTTAAAAAGTCCCATTGGACTTTTCATTGGGATTGTGTTAAAAGTAAATATTAATTGGAAGAAATTGATTTCTTTATAATACCCAATTACTCCTCCACTTAATAATAGCCATAATGATAATAATAAGCTAATACCAGCAGTCAACCTTGACTGGCTGCTCAAGATGGAATCTAAATGTGTTTTAATTTGTTTATAAATTTCTGTTATCCTTGAATTCTTTTTCTTTTTTCTTTTTTTGGTTCTGGGGATTGAACTCAGGACCTTGTGCTTGCGAGGCAGGTGGCGGCACCACTGAGCTAAATTCCCAGCCCCATCCTTGAGTTCTTAGCCATATTATTTATCGAATGGAAATTGAACAAGTGAATTAACAAATGAAGGGTAAGAGTTTCCCTCAAAATCTAGTTCTTTCCCTTTGTTAGCCTATTTTTAATAACTATGTTTTGAGTTTGGGAGTGTTGTGTGCAGCATATAGTAGGATGAATTCACTGCCTTGGTCTTCTATGAACAGAACTGTGCTAGGAGCATAATTAGACTTGTGGTTTAAGCCAGATCTCTACCCCCATGGCCTTTATTTCCTTTTGAGTATAAATGAGGTGGAGACACTGTGCATGTGTTGGCAATCATATATTAGGAAAAGAAGAGAGGAGGGAGAAAAAGGATGAGCTGGCTTCCTAAGAAATAAAATTTCACGAAAATTTGGAAAATAGGCCTTCAAAACGTCACTGTACAAATCAACAGCAGATTTGCATGTCACCTAATACAGGCCCTTACATAATCCTTCTAGCAAGCGCCTGTGGGGTTGGTTCTTTCTCCCCACCCCATTTCCATCTGTCGTCACACAGCTGGGTTTGAAAGATACCTTGTCTGGGAAGCAAATTAAACCCCTAGGAATTTCTGATTAGATTTGGGATTTGGGTTCAGGAGAGAGAATACAGACTGAAGTGACATCACAATTGAAAAGGAGAAAAAAAGAATTCTGTAGGGAACACACATCCAACTTTCATACTGTGGCTACTCAGGGACATTTCAAAATGTTTTCAATCAGCATGCAAGTTTTGAGAGCATTTATGAGAGCATTTTCAAATCTTAAGAAAATCAACTGAATATTTCCAATGTTCAATATTACTCCAAAGCCAGAAACTCCAGATGTTTGTGAGGAAGCCACTGCCTATCTCTCTTTAGATATTCAAGTAGACTTTAAGATGTTAAGGAGGAATAAAAGGCATATCTCTCAATTCTTTAAAAACAGCATCAGACCTCCCTCCTTGGGCTCTAAAGAGGATGAAACTGTGTGCGTGAATGCGTGTCATCTGTGCTCCTTCTACATTACAGGATTGCTGTGGTAAAAAGATAAATCACAGCGAGTGCACAGCGCTATGGAAAACACAGTCCATCATGACCATTGTTTATCACTGCAGACATGGAGTCAATAATTCTCTGTGCGATGGATGCCAGATGCAAACAATAATCAGGGCTCCTGGCATCTGTCCTCTTAAATTCAGGCCTCCCCATCTAGCCTGGACAGCCTCATGAATCACATATGTCTTTAAATTAGGAACTTGCCTGCTGCAAAGGCTCCGGGAGGTTCCAACATTATGACAATTCATTTTTCTCATGAAATGCACTTAGTTTTACTTCCATATTCCTGTATTTTATGTAAGGTATTCCCCATGATGAGAGTTTCTTGGCTGCTCCAAGCAAGAATCATCCAGATTGAAGAAAAGTTCCAGAATCTACATATGCAAGCCTAATAGTTTGGCTTTGGGTTTATTCATGATTAATACATTTAGACCATCTCTTTTCCATTCTTACCCTTGAGAAGCTCCAATACTTTAAGAAACTTCAAGCTCTACAAACCCTAACTAATAAGCACCTGCAGAGCCAACATGGTGGACAGACAGTAGTAGCACTGTAGAGCTAGCTGTGCCCTGACCGGAGGCCTATCTGGCAGGGAAGACCTTTCTCTATGACTTCCCTGTGTGTGCCTTGCTGGAAGACAGGCTAAAAATGCCCTAGATCTCCAAGCAGACCAAAGAAACTCATCAGTTCTGCAAGCACTTACTGAGTGTGACTGAGTCATTGATCTTGAAGCTGCAGAGGACCCTGTCCACATTGCGGGCATGTCGGAAGCCATTTCCTCTCACGACAACTTGAAATGACTCTGAAATGAAGAATAATGACAGGACATGTTACATGACCATCAACCTTAAGCTTCCCATATGCCTTGATTTAGAGCATTTGGTAACTATTTCACCAGGCTTAAAAATACTCAAAAACTAGATCAGGTTGGAAACAATAAGTAACCACATGTGTTTCCCCTTCTATTTCCTTACTGACTGCTTCTCACTAGCTGTTCATGAAGAGGGCATATTACCTCTTACTCTAAATCCCCACCTTCTCACCTTTTCTCTCTTGGGTCCTACTACCTACAAGGCCTCATTCCTTCCTCTTTGTCCATCCAAATCTTACCCTTTTCTCAGTTCAAGCAGTTTGATAAAACTGCCAGAGGGAGTAGTTCCTTAGTTCCTCTTCAATGAACTCAATTCTTCTTAGTTTGTTTCATATTTTGGAATCCCCCTGGAAGGATTTCTTTAGAGTCCAGGGTGCCTTACATTTTTGGAAACCATCACCTAATGGCAACCACAGCCAGTGCTGAACACTGCAGTGTGCAATTATGTAATGTCTGGGCTTTCTTTTGTCTTCTCCCCCAAAGAGAAAAATTATACTTCAGTTCAGTGGCACTCCTACATCTGTGCACTCCTACCTCTCTGCTGGGCACACAGTAGGTGTATGTAGGAATAATTAGTTGCACTTAGCAGTGAACCGAGGTCGTTTATCAGTAGCCATTTTTCAGGCATGACCTGCCTGAGCTGATATTAGCCCTTTAATGCAGTATTCATTTCTCTCTGGATAGAAGAGAGATCTGCATATTAATTTCACACTGGCATAATGTATGTTCAATTAATACATATGAATAAAATCCTTATAAAGCTAAAAAAGCATTCTTTACAATAGCCCTACTAAGGAAAAAACAACTAATTATTTAGCTAAGTGCTTATAAATATGATTAAGTGTGATACTATCTAGATGTCAATGCTCTACTTTTCAAATTTTTATTACCCTTGTGTGTATAAAAATTGGAGCTTGGGATAATGTTATGTGGCACACAAAAAAATAGAAATAGACTAAAAGTCAGAGGAAGAAAATGCAATATTTTGAAAGTGAATTTTAAACTGTAATTGGTTTGTTGAAGGAAGAATGGAATTAGAGAACAAGCATATGGGACTCTTTCATAGTTAAATAAATGTCACGAGTCTATGTCACTTTCATTCTCAAGAAACTTATTTGAAGGTCATGTTTGCCAAGATTATAACTGCTGGGCAACTGCTCCCTTCTTGTATGCCTGGCCCAGGGCTAAATGCTGTACATATCTGATGTTATTTCCACCTCCCACAGCCCAGGGAGGTACAGATGAGAAACTGATCTTAGTGAGGTTAAGTGCTGTAATTTGGCAAACAATCACACAGATAGTAGCTGTCAGCAGCAGTGCCAGGATCCAGGTCTGCTAGGCACCAATTACCACGCCCTTAGAACTCAGCCGTTGTCCTCCTAACCATTATGCTAAAATGGATATCCACATTGTCTTGTGCCAGATGAGAAACTTAGAAATTGGAGTTGTAATCTTTTTAAAAATTCATTTTAGGTTGGCCATGGTGGCACATGCCTGTGATCCCAGCACTCAGGAGTCTGAGGCAAGAGGATCGCTGCAAGTTCAAGGCCAGCCTGGGCTACATAGTGAGTTCAAGGCCAGCCTGAACTACAAAGCAAGACCCTGTCTCGAAAACAATTCATTTTAGTTTCAGGCAGGTTTGTTCATTTTGCAGAAAAGTGGAGCTGGCTGGGATATGAAGCAAGAAACTGAAATCTAAGCAAAAGAACCCAGAGGCACTGCATGTACTACAAGGAGTATAAATAAGAAGAGGATGCTTTTAGAAGTATAAGGGACCTTAATAGTGAAATTAAGATGTTGGCATTTTGATAATTTGCCCTTAGTCATATAATTAGTAAGGAACAGAGCAGAGACCTGTATTCAAGGGTTTGGTATCTTAGTTTTGAATTACAGTAATTAAAGTCATGGACATACGGGGTTTTTTTTAGGACTATAAATCTTATGAATATTAAGGATTTATACACGAATGTTGATGCTATGTTTGGAAAGATGGCTTTAGTGCTTTTGTTTAGGTGTCTGCCAGTATGTGACTGACAACTCAGTAGGTTCAACAGTATTTTATTAAGTGTCAAGCATTCTGGAAGAATCTTATTTGCTCAGTCAAGCTCATAGAATCCAATTTGTTTCCAGTTCAAAAACCAGACATATAGACATCTGCTGTGTGACATTTTTGCCAATTCCAGATGTTTTCTGCCTTGCTGCTGTGACTACTTCTCATTTCCTCAAAGATCATCACAGCGAGAGAAGACTGAAAATTCAGACTGCATGCCAAGCTCTCTTCCCTAACACCATGTTCCAGCATTACCAGTTCAGCTGCTGAGTCCTCTGTAAAAGCAGCTGCACACATGTCTGCTTGGCCCAGCCTCAAGGAGTTTAGGAAGGAAGACAGCAAGAATCCATGATATGGCCATGGTGGAAACCAAGCAATATAATCCCCTATGCCTGGAGAAAAGATGGAGGAGAGGGTGCTCTGGGATGCAACAGGAACACAGGCAAGCTCCACCCTGCCTGGTCAGTTTCTGTGTCGGTGCACACATTTGGTTTCCAGAAGAGCCCAAACATCTGACCCAGCAGCTTGACTGGAATGTCACTAGGAAGTTACATAACAAAATGCTGCTGAATGAATCTTTTAGTTGGATCAGGATGCACTAGAACAAGAATGTATGGCTTTAACTCCATTTGTCAACAAAGCCCTAGGTCTACCTTTCAAAATATGTACAGTTCAATGCTTTTAGATAATTTGAACATTGAGTTAGAGCCCCTACAAGAAGTGCTTAGGGATTGTAGGGCTTTACGGAAAACTTCTAGGTATCTTTCTGAAAGAGTTAAAAACATCATACTACAATGATACATGTACACCCATGTTTATAGCAGCATTGCTCACAAGAGCTAAATCTTGGAAGCAGTCTATATGCCCATCAACAAATTAATGGATAAAGAAAATGTGGTTTTTATACACTATGGAGTACTTCTTTGTCATTAAGAAGTATAAACTTTAGACATTTGTAGGAAAATGGATGTATTTTGACATCATAATTTTAAGTGAAATAAGTCAGAAACACAAGCTTAAAAATTGCATAGTTTCTCTTGTATGAGTAACCCACAACATAAATAATTAAAGAGTAAAATAAAAAATAGAAAATAGGAAATAATAAGATAGATCTTTTGCAAAAGGTAAGGGGACCAGGAGATGTGGGAGAGGGAAAGGGGATTAAAAAAAGAATTAAGATGTGTTATGTACATGTACCAATTCCTCCTAAGTAATGTAATCATTATGTACCGCAAACATGTACCAGTAAAAGAAAATATGTATTATAAAGGGAGGAATTTTATATCTGCAAAATGTCCTTGATTCAATCTTTGAAGATATATATCCTTTAAAGGTGTCTTTAAGATATAAATTTATGATGATTCTTTTGTTTCTTTTATTCTCAGGGACAATTTATGCTTCCTGATGGCATAAGAAGTATTCCTACTTTTTTTCTGAATGCTTGGCTGTGCCTATCTCAGGGCTGAGCTGATCTCAGTATAAGCTAACAGAGTGAATGAATAAATAACATCTTGGCATAGAAAAGGAATGAAGGGGAAGGACAAGTGGTCTCAGGTACCAGTCAGGTCTGAGCCTGTTTATTTTCTGAGGTCAATGGATGAAAAGATAATAACACTAGTCATTAGAGAAATTCAAATAAAAATCATAGTAAGCTATCACTTCATAGCCACAATGTCAGCTATACTAAAAGAGATGGACAATAAATATTGGTGAAAAAAAATGGTGCAAAATAGTTGAGTAGTTCCTCAAAATGTTAAACATAGCTACCTTATGATCAAAATTGTCACTCTCAGTTGTATATCCAAGGGAAATAAAAATGTAGGATCACACGAAAACTTGTACAAAAACTTGTATATGTTAGGACATGAATGAACTTTAAAAACACTATACTAAATGTGAGACCAAACCCAAAAGGCCACATATTGTGTGATTCTACTGATATGAAATGTCAAGGTTAGTAAATCCATAGAGAAAAAAAGTAGTTTGGTAACTGCTAGAGTTGGAGTTGAGGAAATGAAGAGTGACAGCTTAATGGGGGTATGAAAGCATTCTAGAATTAGTGGTTATGGTTACACAATTCTGTGATATATTAAAAAGCACTGAACTGTATACTTTAAAGGGTGAATTTTATGGTATGTTAATTATAGCAAATTTTCAAAAGGAAAGAATGCCAGTAAGTGGTTTGATAAATAATTCCATTTTTTCCCTCATTTTCTTTCTTTGCTTTTCTTCCATTTTTAAAAAATGTGGAACCCATAATTTTGGGATGACCTCCAAAAAGACTGCCTGTAATTCACTATATCAGAAAATAAGAAATCTATATATTCTCTGCTTATTCTAGTCCCCCCAGACTTTTATGCCCAATTATCCTTATTACTATTTTATCTTGTTCAAATTTTCTCTTCTAGTGGATGCTTAAGGTGGCATGTAATACCTCACATATTATACAGACTGATGTCTAATAGGTGTTTTCTGATGGCTGAATTATTCTAGAGCATTTTTATTTTACAGCTATTTCATTGTAACAGCTCTAGTAAGGTATAATTGACATATAATTACTTGCACATAAAGTGTACAATTTGATACTTTTGGACATATGTATACAATCATGAGACAATAACACAAACAAGATAGTGATTACAATATCACCCCTAAAAGTCTCCTTATACTACTTTTAATCTAGAATAATTTAACCACCAGGAAGACCTATTAGGCATCAGTCTACAGATGTTAGATGTTACATGCCACATTAAGCATCCACCTTTAATCTCTTTTCCTACTCATCCATACCTCCACATCTATGCAACCACTGATCTACTCTCATAACTGTAAATTAGCTTGCATTATCTAGAATCTTATGTAAAAGGAATCCTTTAATAAA